AATAAGTCGCTTTGTATCTGTTGACTACGGCTTTCACGTCCACCCTGCTGAACATTCACAGACTGTGATGCTCTTTTTCCACCTCAGACCTGCTCTGTATTTTAGACTCTGAATGAGCTTACTGTTTCACTGCCAGCTTCTCCTCTGAGAGGCAGAAAGGCACAAGAATTGTGTGTGAGTGTGAGAAAGAGGGAGAGGCTAAGCTGCTGACATAAGTAGGTGGTATTCACACAGCCCAGGCAAGGATTTTAAGCCCACAGCATGACCTTCCCTGTCTGATGTTGCCAGGTTTGAGATACGTGACCACAGCTACTGTAACCTTTACAATAGACGAGCAGAAGTGAGTAAAAGAACAGGACATCTTGTGGGCGTTTTTTTGTACATTAAACCAGATGAACGCTCAAGATCAGCCACATCTGAAAACAAAGCCGTTTGGGTAATAAGACTAACTAGTCAAAAACCTACGATGTTTGCATTTACCACTAGAGCACTGCAAAATGAAAGCCAAACAAGGCGATTTTAACAGGTTTCGGTGTGGTGGATATCTTCAGCGGACAAATTGAGTATGCTGAAGGCATTATCTTGGACACAAGGAAACTGTCAGTACTGACATTTTAAAGATCAAAGATTTCTTTGAAATTATTTTTAAAAGAATTCAACAGATTAATGAATAATGAGTAGTTGAAGTGAATAAATGTAGCTGAAAGCAGCAATGAGGGAGGGCAAACAGTTCATGAGGTCAAATTCAAATTCAATTCAAATTCAAATTTTTATTTGTCACACACACACACACACACACACACAACCATACACAGTATGACATGGGGGTGAAATGCTTGTAGCTGTACAATGCCCGACCATTAAATGACAGAAAAAAAGTTTTACAATATTTACAATTTACAGGTTACTACAAAATTTACAAATTAACTTAGGAATTTACAGTAAAGAATGTGCAAATAGCAGAAGAGATTATAAAGGTTATAAATTATTGGAATTATAGGATTATAGGAAATGTGTGGTGGTGCGTGTGGTGATGTGTGTGTGAGAGTCCAGTCTTATAGTGACGTGTGTGGGAGAGTCCAGTCCTACACCTGGTTCAGGGCCCGAATAGCCTGGTGGAAGAAGCTCCTCCTCATTCTCTCCGTTTTGGCCTTAAGGGAGCGGAAGCGCTTCCCAGACCTCAACAGTGAGAAGAGTCCATTGTTGGGATGGGAGAGGTCCATCATAATCTTCCTAGCTTTGGACTTGCACCGCTTGGTGTAGATGGACAGCAGGTCAGGGAGCTCTGATTGAATGATGCGTTCGGCTGAGCGCACCACTCTTTGCAGATCTCGTCTGTCCTGCTTGGTGCTGTTCCCAAACCAGGTGCAGATGTTTGCCGTCAGGAAGCTCTCGATGGTGCAGGAGTAAAAGTTCTTGAGCACCTTCAGTGGCAGATGGAAGTCTCTAAGTCTTCTGAGGAAGAAGAGACGCTGACGGGCTTTCTTGACCAGGTGGACAGGTTTGAAAATCTGAGATCTATCCGGTGACTTTTGCAAGGTTGAATTTTAGTGACCACTGAAAAAAAATGTTCTGCCTGTTTTTAAAAAAAGAAAACTTTTTCATTAAAGCCAACATTTAATTTTTTTTTCCAATAGAGCTTATGGTTCTGCTTTAGTTCCATTAGTGGTACTTCAGTGTTCAAAGTAAAGCAGTCAGTAAAATTGTATTTTTATTTTCACTGCTTAAAGTGAAGAGGTTGTTTTCGTAGTTACTAGTGCCACAAACGGATCTAAATCAAGTGGACAGAAACTACAGTTTAACACTGTAGATCAAAAAATCCAAGCAATATTTCAACTACATGTTCTTATGTACTTATTCTGTTTGCAGAGCCTTTTTTCCCCTTTCTAATGCTATAATCCATCCAATCCTCCTTTGTTAACATTTGCAAATATTAAAAAGGAAACTAGATGGCATGCATCCTATAAAAGATTTTAGTTTGACAGCTTCTAGTGTGTCAAACTAAAAACAGCACAAATTTTTGGAGTGCACAATAATTCATCCTGGGACTCATTTCAATAAAAGCTCTAAAAATCTGAAAATTAAGCTTTGAGCCATGCTGCGGAAGAGCTCCAAATCATCCTCATCTATCTTCATAAAGCTGTGATTGGCATCCAAGAACTTAGTCTATTTACAGCAGCCGCACTTTAACTAGTTCAAGAAACAGCATGGCAGCTTTATTGAGGGACTGGCAGGATGCTGTAATCTCTACTGCCAATCCAGCTGCTCCCATCCAGCCCTCCATTCAACATGAGCAGCTGACCAGCCCTGGAGGACACTGGTAAATCGCGACAACAGTGGGACAGATGCAGAACACATCTGGTGGTGGTGGGGGGGGGGGGGGGGGGGGTATGATGGCAAATAACATTATCAACACAGAGGGAGAGGTGAAGGAAGAGGATGATAATGCGCTGCCGTGTGCAGTCCAATGTCACTTTCCAACTCAGCACTAATCAGAGCGCCTCAGACCATTTCAGAAATTAAACTAATACTCTGACACTGATGAGCGGTTAATCTAAACACAAGATCTTCATCCAAAATGCAGCACACAAACAAGGAGACTTCGTATTAAAGCAACCTTTCGTTATGCGTTTAGCTGGAGGGAAGACAGCTGCAGCACAGTACTGCAGAAATTGCTGACAGGTAGTAAAATGCAATCATGGAATCACGGGACAATGTTTTTCCAAGGACTGCTGCAGGTACTTCAACACCAACTGTTTTTGTTCCTCATGCAGAGCTTCAAGGAACAGATGAGGCACGTGCCCACATAGACCCCAGGTCAGAGGTCAGCAACCTTTAACACCGAAAAAGCCATTTGGACCCGGTTTCCACGCAAAAGAAAACAGTGGGAGCCGCAAATACTTTTTGACATCTAAAATGACGATAACACTGTATATATTGTTTTTTACCTTTATGCTGTGTGTGAACAACTAAGGTGTGTTGCTTATGAAATCCTTGAAGTGCTACAGAGAAAATTACATTTTATTTATGTAATTGACACATTTTGAACTCTTAATGAAATATAGCAAAAGGAAAGACACCCAGCTGAACTAAAATGATCCATGTAGCAAACAAAAACTGTTGTGAGCCGCCACCCTTATATCGCCTTTGGGCTTTTGGAGCTTTGACCTGACTTTTAAAAAATAATTGGGAAAAAAAGCACTATGCTGCTAAAAAATGACAAATAGATAATTGCAAAATTCTGCCTAAATATGTATTTTACCTGGTTAATGTGTGTGGCGTGGCGTGGTCTGCAGCGCCGCTGCAGGGGAGGCGACGCACCTGAGCGGCACCTGCAATCACGCCTCGCCGCCTTTACATCTGTGCTCTCTATGCTGTTGTGTTGGTATGTGTCGGGCTGTGAGCTGAAAAGCTACAGCCGGCTGTATGTGTACAGCAACCGTGTGTGAAAAGTGGTCAATAAAGAGATGCTGAAAAGCAAGTTCATGGAAACATCGTCGGGTCTGCCTTGATATGTTTACAATGGGACTTCTGCTCCTGAACCTCTGCGTACAGCGTCTGCAAATCGGGGCTGTACAAGTCACTTTCATCTTTACGCAGGACTGTAAGCTGTCAGCTGTGAGGCGTGAGCGGTGTTTGTCTTTAACATAGTTCACGGTGGAGAATGGCTGGATCCAAAGATCCATAATTGGCCTACCTGGGGTTGAAAGTCTTGATAAATGCACGGCGTTTCGGCGGGTATATCGGTTTCCGCGAGTTTGACTCTTATTTTGAGCGATGAAAAAAATAATAGAATATAAATTTATTTTTATATTTATAGAACTACAAGGTAAAAAAGAACTAACATAAAAATAAAAAAAATAAAAATACACATCAGCTAAATACTTCTAATTTATTTTCCCAAACCACGCGGAGCCGCACTGTAAGGACTAAAGAGCCGCATGCGGCTCCGGAGCCGCAGGTTGCCAACCCCTGCCCCAGGTAGTGCTCAGGCACCTGTGCTTTTAACTTCTTACTTGATAAGTCCCCTTTTTGCAGGTTACTTTTTTTCTATCATCTATTTCACAATTTCGTATGACATTAATGTCAAATTAGAAGCATATGAAGGCCAACAATTATATTTTTATAATTCTGCTAGATCACACAAGCCACATATCCTCTTTTGATTTTTGCTGTCAGCCATATGCCTGAATGCCATCAGAGCACCCTGAGGAACAGCATGATGTCTCTGACCTGCTATTACCCTGCGAAAGCAAGGTTATGATAGCGTTTGGCCAGCAAATATTCAGATGTCAGAAACACCTGCTCGGCATATCCATCTAGAGTCATTCATATCAACTTGCATGGAAGTGACGTTAATCTTACAGATTTGTCATCGTATTTATTGGTTATAGGTGCAGTCAAAAGAGGTCAAAGTTTGTGTGCGAGTCCGTGCGACATCAGTACCAGTATGTTGTGTGTGTGTGTGTCAGACCTGCTACAGAGGGAAAAAGTAGCGTGTATAATTATTTCTCAAATACTTTGCACATTTAGTTAGCTCCAAGAGTGTTTGCCTTAAATATTATTTTAATACATATCTAATCCTTAATTATGATGTGTAATATTTATTTAATATGTAGCACAACAGCAAGAAAGAACAGGTTAAGAAAACAGAAATAAAGATAACTACAGCAGGGCAGCAGCTCTCTTCTGTCCTGGATCAGACCATGCAGCAGTGAAGTCGATGAGGGAGATCAATAAATAAGTATGTAAGCAGGTAAAACCTGTGCTATTGTGTGCAGATTTGTTTTAATATACAAATTCTTATGTGACCTGTTTTTGGCTTTAGCACTTCCACACTCTTTAAAATGTTTTTTTTCCAAATTTTTGGATGGACTGCTGTTTTTCCTTAGCAGGATGTTTAAGGGCACTTAATTGCACTTTTGTATACACCAACCCATTCAGATGTGTTATAAAACTGGAATGTGTTAAACAGCAGAGAACCAGTATATTTCACTTACTGCTGTTTGTGGTTCAGCTCTGCCTCCTTGTTCACCAGGTCCTGCTTGAGATTGGCTAGCATCTCCACGGAGACGTCCACCTGCCGAGAAAGCTCCGAGGCCTTGTCCTCCAGGTCTTGTTTCTCCTGGCTCAGCCGTTCACTCTCCAGCTTGGCCCGCTCCAACTCTGAGCTCTTCCTCTCCAGCTCCGCCTGAAGACGGCCTACACGGGCCGCTATTTTCTGCTCCACCTACAGTTGAGGAGAAAGTTTTACCCCCCTGTGTAAAATTTAAAGTGTTTTTTTTTCCAAGAATTTCTAAGCATACTAGTTTTCTTTAGAAAATCAGATCAGAGAACGAAATCATGAAAAAGCATGCCAAAAACAAAAGAAGTCCGTTTACACTGGAGAAAAAAACTTGTTGCAAGAGATGGATATACAAAGTTATCGCAGTGTACCAAAATGTCAATAATTGGAGTGAGAATTATCAAGAGTTACACAGTACAGAACAAGCATTGCAGAGGTAGAAAGTGAAAGAGTTTGAAGACTGGTTAAAAAAAAAATACAGTGTCTAAAGACCCCAGATCAACTTCCATAACACTAGTGAATGACTTAGCCAAGTCAGGAATTATAGTCTCAAAGAAGGCAATCACTAGAACCCTGCACAGGAATGGACTGTGAGGTTGCAGACCAAGAAAAACTTCACTTCCGCAGAAGAGACACTTTCAAGCCAGACAGAAATATACTAATTACATACTACTTATGCATATTGGAAGTGCATCCTCTGGTCAGAAGAAAAGAAACTAAAGCTCTTTGGCCGGGGAGATGCTGCTTATGTTTGGAGAAAGAAGGGAGAGGCGTGCAACCCGAAGAACACTGTCCCCTCAGTGAAGCACGGTGGTGGGAGTATAATGCTGTGGGGATGCTCAAGCTCATCAAGGTAAGAGGAATCATGAAGAAAGAAGGAAATGTGAAGAAGTAGACTATTAGAAAATTAGTGAAAAAACAGCTAATGTCCAAGGACCACTTAAAAAATTCCAAGAAAGTCTGGCTCCTTGGAAGCAAAATATAGAGAAATGAGAGGTGAGTTGTTGCACAGGACTGTTTATGGACACAATTTCCTGATAAAGTTTATTCTGACTCTGTTAGCTTAGTGTATTTACCTCTTCAGACAGCTTCTCCAGCCTCTCATCCAGCTCCAGCCGTTCAAACGCCCGCGCCTTCAGCCTGGCCAGGCCTTCCTCATACGCTGCTTCGACTGCACTGGCTGCTACATTAGCTGCCACCGCTACAGCTGTGCTGGGGTTTCCATGGGGACCCGGATCTGTGGATGTCATGGCTTTTTTCATAAAAATCTCCCCCAGGGGAAACTCCACATTGGGAATATACCGGGCTGCAGTGTTGGAGTTGGCTGGGGTCAAACTCAGGTCGTCTGCACAAGGAAGCTCACGGCAAGGAAAGCGCCGCTCCTTTAAAGCTGAAGGCCGAAGTGGCTCAAAGGGGTCGTTGTTATTGGCGGGTGCGAGCAGAGCTCCCTCAGCCACTAGGGGCAGCAGAGCAGCAGCGTCACATACACTGTTGGATTTGGAGAGGACGTAAAGGGTCTCGTACGTGTGGTTGTACTCCAGGTGGGCACGCAACGACGACAGGCTTCGGAAGCGCTTGTGCTCCCCGCAGCGAGGACAGCGGTATGGCAGGTCCAAAGATGCCATTCCGTGCAGTAACTGCCGGAGGAGGGGGGGGCGCTCACGCAGCACAACGGTAGCGCCAGTCTGAGGGCACTGAGCTCGAGCACCTGACAGATCCTCTCATGGTGAGAACAGGGCAACTACTGGACATCAGCAGGAGAGAAGAGCCAGGTCAGTCACATGACCGCACTGGGTGGCAACATTCAGCTGGTCGTCTCATTTCATCTGCCATGGTTGCCTTTCCTAAGGTCCTAAAGAGAGGACGAAAATACAAGTTAAAGTTTGTTGGTTTCATACAAGTATAATTCTAACATATACTGAGATAAAGTCACTCAAAGGCAAAAATCAAGTCAACTAAATAGATGCCAAGAAGCAGAGGACAAAGCTAAAGCTAAACCACCTGCCAAAATATACAAGGGAAAAAAAACAACGTGCCTTTTCCAGCAACACTACACGGCTTTTCCCTGCGACAGGGCCACATAAAACTCCCATTTGACAAAAAAACAACAACAACATTTTATTTACAATAGAGAAATGAACACAAATCAGTTGTTTAATCTGAGACATGAAAAATACTGGCTCATTTTGAATTTGATGATAGCAACACATCTCTAGGAAGACAGGGATGGGGTAACAAAAGTAGGTGACGCTAAAAAGAAACAGCTGGAGGAAATTTTGCAAGTAATTAGGTTAACTGGCAACAGGTCAGTAACATGACAGAGCATCTTTTCTCAGCAGCAGAAGTGGGCTGAGATATAAAATACTATGTCTATATGAAGAAGAATTTTAATATCTCATCATCTACAGTACGTAATACAAACAACAGACTGAGAGAATCTGGAGAAATCTCTGTGCACAAAGCAGGCTTGAAAATCAAATATTGGATGTCTGTGATCTTTGGGCCCTCACGTGGCACTGCATTAACAATACGCATGATTCTGTCATGGAAATCATTGCATGGGATGAGCAAGACTTCCAGAAGCCACCATCTGTGAACACAGTTCACTGTGCCACTCACAAACGCAGGCAAAATCAAAGAAGAAGCTATGTGTGAACATGATTTATCTTCTGCGTTTAAAGCAGGCAAAGTGGAAACGTTTTCTGTGGTCAGACAATTCAAAACCTCAAATTCTTTTTTGGAAAACATGGATGCTATGTCCTCCAGACCAAAGAAGACAGAGATCATCTAGTTAACAGTGCTCAGTTCAAAAGCATCTCTGGAGATATGAGGAGCATCGGTGTTTATGAAATTGGCAGCCTAAACATCTGGAAAGGTGCCATCAGTGCTTTAAGGTATACACAGGTTTTACAGCAACATACACTCCCATCCAGACAACATCACTTTCAGGGAAGGCCTTGTATATTTTAGAGAGAAGATGTTAAACTACATACTGCATCTATTACAACAGCATGACTTTATAATAGAAGAACCCGGGTGCTGAAATGGCCTGCCTGCAGTCCAGATCTTTCACTGAAAGCAGAAAACATTTGGAGAATCTTAAAATTTAAAGAAAATACCACAAAGAAGACCCAGGACTGTTGAGCAGCTAGATTTTAATGTCCTAATGTGAATAAAATATGGGGTTATGAGATCTGCAAAACATTACATTCTGTTTTTATTTATATTTTACAAAACTTCTCTGGAATTGGGGTTGAAAATCCTGGTTATTGTTACATTTAGCTAATCTTTATTACAATATTAGAGAACAGTTTTCCTAATGTCCTCACCACAGGCCTCTCAATATTTACTACTCCAGCTGTCTGATCACTGAAGAAATCAAAGCCTGTCTCTCTCAGCTGGACTCATAATCCATGAGTTTAGCCGTCAAGAAACCTGAAACCTTTACTTCACCAAGGATTAAAAAGCAAGCTCTTGCACTTGTACTCGGGGAATGGTGGGGAAATGGAAATGGAAATGGATCCATTAGTGAGAGTGCTTATTAGTGCCAAGGTCATTTTCCAGTCTTAGTCTAAGAGGTCAGACTGGATAAGGCTAAATCCTTTACAAAGGGATCTGGTAACCCACAGTAGTAAAGAAAAAAACCCTGATATCTGTTTTCAGAGTAACGGCCCTCATAGATAATGAAGACAAGAAGAGAACATGTAAATGCATAGCAAAACTTTTCCTTGGATGCATTTCTGGGTAAAAAAACCCAAAAAAAAAACAAAACAAAAAACAAACACAGTTGCATTCAGAAACTGAAGTTAACTTAAGATATTCAAAATTATTTTTTGATTACTTTTTCCCATTTGCTATTCAGATGCAGAGCTGTGTGGGTCACTGCAAGAACAGTGAATTAGTTTTTTTTTTTTTATTCAATTACCCAGAACTTGAAGCCCCTGATGAAATAAAAATTCAGCACACCATCCTTTTCTGGTTTCCCTGAATCAGCTTCTCTAATTACTGTAAAGCTCAGTGTTCTGCTCAAGTCTTAGACACAAGTGCACTGACAAACAATACTGAGTTCTTCACTCTGAGCCTACACAGCTACTAAATAATATCTGTAGCAAGGTCTCATTTAGAGTCAAGTCCTGCTGTGATTCATTGTCTTAATAAGAAATTCAGTAAACTCATGTTCTTGGATGTATTTGTTTGCTACATTTTATTTTATAAAACTTGTTTAAAAAAAACAGTGCTTAAGACTTCAGTCACATAGAGCCTAGCAACCACCAGTTGCTAGGAAAAAATTAATATTCCCTGAGCAGTTGGTGAGTAGCTGCTGAAGGTTGCCAACAGTCACTGCGGTTGCTAAAGTCAGGCCAGGGATCCCCTGGTAACCACCGGTTAACTTCCACTCTTTGATTTGCTGCTTTCTGTTGCTAGGTGAAACTCCTCACAAAGAGGTATGCAGTGTTGTACTAAAAACCTCCTCACGACTGCAGACTGCCACAATCACCCACAAATATGCACAGAAATCAGCAACTTGAAAAAGTGCGACAGAAAACCAGAAACAGACCGTTTGCAATCAAAGTCAAAGGTGCACCTTTTAAAACATGGGCGAGGGAACTCCAGGCCTCGAGGGCCAGTTTCCTGCAGGTTTTAGACGTATCCTTGATCCAACACAGCTGATTCAAATTGCTAAATTACCTCCTCAACATGTCTTGAAGTTCTCAAGAGACCTGGTAATGAACTAATTGATTCAGGTGTGTTGGCTCAGGGTGATATCTAAAGCCTGCAGGACACTGGCCCTTGAGGCCTGGAGTTGCCCACCCCTGTTTTAAAACATGTCAGTTTCACCAGTATGGCACACCCTTTACTTTGACAGCAATCACTTCTTATTTTGCTAAGTTTTACAATCGCTATATGGTTAGTCAGTGAGCATTTGCAGACAAGCTGGCGTCTTCCATGCAAATCACAGGCAAACACAACAACCTACGAGCAAGCAAAGCAATCAAAAGGTTTTTTTGATCCCTCTCTGTGATCAATTTACAACTGCCAGTAGCCACTCGTCAACCAGTCAGAAATACATTTTTTCCTAGCAACCAGAGATAACCAGGGTCTCTAGACCCCTGTGACTGAAGCCTAAGCCTGATGCTTCCTTACATATAAAAGAATTATTCCCAGCTTTTTCAATTTAAGACTGTTTAAAAGGATCTGTATCAGACTGCTGCATCCCATTTGCTGCTGCACTGAACGCCACTCCCCTCAGCCACACAAAGCCCACTGGAGACACGGCGGTAGGCGATGCATTTTTCGGTCACACTTTCCAAATCATTACCAATCTGTAAATTTGCAGTCTAGAAATAAACCAGTCATAGTTCCAATCCCAATCATTACAGAGCATATCTTTATTAGGAGTTGTGCTCATCCAAAGGTGAACATTTCCAGGCAGACTGCGATTTATAAATATTATATTGTCTATTGTGTGTTGGTGTTTTTGGCTTTAGTGTGTACTCATGTGTGTACTTTTAGTAACGATCCTGAGGAATCTCCATAAATCACACCCAAGGGTATTTTTTAGGAAATGTTTCCCTATTGACAAGAAAATCAAACTAGCATCATTACATGTGGAATTTCTTAATGGTATCAGTTTAAATACTGGGTAGTGTATTATCTGCATTTTCAACATAGCACAAGCTACTTTCTACTATAAGGCAAGAACCATTTTACAATGACTGTAGAGTAGTGTTTCAAAGCCATAGAAAGCTCATGCTTGAAGCAGGGATTGTTTTACCAGGTAGTTCCCACCAAACCAGCCTGTTCTCATTCCCAGGAGTCACGTACTTCCAGTCTGTCAAAGGCAGTGGGGTCTCACAGATTTGACAATGTGTCCTCTGGGACTGGTGCCATAACACAGTCGTTATGCATCAAGAGGCACATTTTAACCCAAACCACAATCTTTTCCTAAACCTTGCCAAGTAGTTTTTAGCTCCTAAATCTAACTAACAAGTGAGAGTAAAAACCAACACTGGCACTTGAACTGGAACCAACTCTCAGAGATCTCCTATCTCTCAGAAACTTCTACAACAGCTATTAATGAGTGAAGCAGCAGGCACTGGAAGCACAATCACAAATCCCAGATGCAGACCATTCTTCACAGTGGGCTCATACACTGGAAATCCCCAGAAGTCGCACAGACTGTTATTAGACGTCTGGTAAGGCTGGATCAGGGAGTGTACTGGCAACGCGTCCCCATTTATTAAAGGAGGAGGATTTCACAGACACAGTCACTGCACTGCAGTGAGCAGGCATTCCCATCTGCTTAAAATTACTCAGTGAGGTATTTAAACAGGCAGGAAAAGGAAGGAAGCGAAGCTGCTTTTAGCCACATGTCACATCCTGTCAGTGGAGCTCAGCTGAAACATTGAAAAGAAATGCATTTAATTTTCTTTATTGTGGAATACTGAATAGCAGACATTAGAAATACAAAATAGAAACTATTGGGAAGATAATGTATGATTTACTTTACTTCATATGCACAGAAAGCATATTCAGGCCTCAATAAATGGACATCATTGAAGAAACACAGTCGCCTTATGACATCAAACAGAGTAAAGATATAAAAATGTATTTGTTTGCTTTAAAGTAGGTGGTAGCAGTTCAGATTTTAACTCATCAGCTCCACTTCAGTGACCATCAGTAACAACAAAAAGCCATCGGTCCCATCAGATCAGCTATCCCATCTGCCTCAAACATTTTGCAACCTTTAACTGTGTGTGGCCAAACACAGATCAGCTTTACAAGCTGTCCTTTAAAAGTAGAAGCACTAGAAATGTTAGGGAACGCTTTATGATAGCTTACGTTCTCGTA